AGGAGTCCCGAAGCTAATGGACACTCCTCTGGCCAATGGATACTGCCTTGCCACCGTATGATCTGCTTGGAGAGTATAAAATGCCATCATATAAAGACATGTTCAGACCTTTCTGGCGAGAGATTTAACCTCCCATTAGGAAAAGTATTGCCTTATATGGAGCTCTAATCTGAGCAGTGAAAGTGAGACTGAGTGTTAGGTGATTCTGTTGCCATAGCAACAGCTCTGCGTCAGTACTTGCGTAGGTAGGTACTTGTCACAGCTAGAAAATGGGGTGGTATGTACCACCCTAGTAAGACTAAGAGAGGATTCAAGGATTTTAAGCCTATACAGTTGAATATGGCAGTGAAGATTGAAAATAGATCACCAGAAAAGTGCTCATTTCATTTTTAATACACAATGATGTGATTTTTTTCATGTCAAATATTATAAATGACATGACTGTTAAAAGGCTTTCAAAAACAATACTGGCTTACAGGTGGTCAATAAGATACAGGATTCTTAACCCTTAGTCAGCAAAGGTAGCCACTGAGTTTTAATACACAGAGGCAGTCCTTAGTACTGGTTGGGTAGTTCTCTACCAGACTAACTACGCTGGCTATATTATATAGGAGAATATTTGGCAGGGGAGTTTGGCTGCCTTGTAGGTTTGACTGGCCGCGCAGTTCGGAGGGAAAGAAACTACCTCCCCGCGGCCGGACTCCCTTGGCCCATTTCATTCTCTTTTTTGATGAATTCTACGATCTGTATTCCTGTAGAAAGGCCTGGTTGAGGCTACTTTCCACAGGCCTTCAGAGGGAAAGAAACTACCTCCCCATGGCCGGACTCCCTTGGCCCATTTTATTCTCTTTTTTGCCGAATGCTATGATCTGTATTCCCGTAGAAAGGCCTGCTTGAGGCAAGTTAATAACTGTCACAAACAGCGGTGCAGTATTAAGTATATTGACTTAACCCATGTCCCCCCACCAGCTAGTTTGTACAGCTTTGGTTCGTAACACTCCTTGGGTAAATATCGCAGTTAAACACAGAACTGCCACCCTGGCTCAGTCAACATGATTAGGGACAACTTCCGTGTTGTCAACATGTAATCCCAAATATACCAGCTTTACACTTAATAACAGTCTGCAACCACTGAGAAACCACTGAGAAACCAAGTACATGAAATCTAAGAATTTCAAGTTCAACTATTAAAGACAGTCAAACCTGTACCAGTGACCAACTCTACATAAGGACCACCTGGCCATTGATACAGTCAAACCTGTACTACTACTGAAGTACTAGTACTAGTGACCAGCTCTAATCTCCAAGCAGATCCTAGGTTGGCATTAAAAGACAGTATCAAATTGGGCAGGCAGTATTCAATCATTGGCCAGAGAGGGTCCATGCCCCCCTCCCCAAAAAGGGCCATATACATGTATAAAAGGTAGCGATCTTCCCCCATCAACCTCTGCTTGGAGAGCAACCACCTCTACATAAGGACCACCTGGCTATATTGAATCATGATCGGTATTTGGTGGTCCCAAGGTTACAATCTATCCATTGACACACATAACCACAAACATTTCAAAACAAACAATTAACCCTAACCCTGACCTTAACCCTTCCTACCATGGACTTATCCATACACCAAATTTGCATCTGTCACAACAATTATAAGAAGCCAAAGGAAAACAGTAACATATTAGAACCTCTTATCTAGTTATGTCACGCTTGATTAGATTATCTAGCCTGGGGCATTAGCTGTGACTTGATCTTATCAATACCACCTGCAAATGCTGGTAAAATTGGGGCTGTGCTGCTAGTGTGCAGATATTACTGAGCCTGAGGTCTACATGTACAATTGTACCCGCACCTAAATTCACATTCACCAGTTAATGTATTGGGTTTACATACAATTTTACAAATGGATTTTATTAGCTGTATCTATTGTTAGAAGAAATAATGTCAATGGTTTCTTCTGAGCAGTTCTTCTTAGTCTGATCAAGGACTCTGAGAGACTTCTGTATAAAATTCTAAAATCTGAAATTCTAAGCGGTGCAGGTAAAATCTGTCTGGTGCAGGTAATTTTCAATATCACCTACACAGGTACAGGTATGTAGAAAAACAGATTTCACACACTACCCTATCAATTAGATGTTAATCTACTGACCAGTGATTATCTGTTGACTTTGTTAATCTGCAAACTCATTACCAGGTTGCTTATAATCAACTGGTTTTAGTTGGATCAGTTTTGGGATGTGTGCTGTCCATTTATGGCTGATCAGGAATAGTTTGGTGGTGAGCTAACCATCGTAGACCTTACCACAAATATGGTGTCAGCCAAAAGGGCAACCAGCCATGTACACCATCGATAGGCTGGAATGTACAACTGACCCCTACAGTACAGCCTAGACATAAACAACATTTCATCACTGTGATATTATGACAACCAAGTAGATGTATGTACATGGGTTTCATTTTACAAAATGAAAATTAGCTATACTGTAACTAGTACTGTACAGATGTTTAATTTTGCAAGGGCTTAATTTCGCAGCAGAACTAGAAGGGGAAAGGGGGTATTCCCTGTGTTATAAGTTCACTGTTGAAACAACTAACTTGTATAGAAACACAAATACATTTTTTGTGGTGTCTGATGGCCTACCAAAAATAGCAAACATTTCAAGACTGCTCACACTTTGTAATAGCCTGGGTACCATCCGGATTTTCGCTATGCAGCGCTCGAAAAAATCGTGTTGCGTAACGAAAATCTGGATGGTACCGAGGCTACTTTGTAATGCTTTAAAAAAAAAGATCTGAGCCTGTATACATCTGCTTGGAGTTGATTGTAGTTGTTCCAGTTTTGGCAAGAATATATCGAGAAACCATTTTGTGCCCATAACTAGAACCTTGCTAAATTAGGAATGTGGGAATTTCAATGGCAGTCTAATCTCACCAGTGTAAATAACTGATGTTATGGATATTAGCAGGGAATTTCTCAATGTTTTGCAAGTCAACTTAGCTTGAAAACTAAACAAAAACATGGTCAGAGTGGAATGCTTGGCTTTGGGCAATGGTGTTTTTGAGGTACCGAAACAACTTACTGATTCTACATCTAGGAATTTCAACATTCAACTGATACCAATATACAGTTCCACCTTTCCCAGTCCCAATTTTTTCCCCATCTACACAAGAAGGCCACCTGTCCAAGAAAACTTCAGATGTAACGTTACACAAATGTATAAATTTTGATAGAGGAGGGTAGAGATACAAACAGAGAGAGAGCATGATAGGGAGAGAGAGTATGAGAGAGAGAAAGAAAGAGAAACAGAGCAAGAGAAAGCAAGAGAGAGGGAGAGAGATGGAGAGCAAGAGAGAGGGGAGAGAGAGAAAGAGAGCAATAGAGAGGAAGAGAGAGCAAGAGAGAGAGCAAGAGAGAGAGAGAGGGAGAGGGACAGAGAGGGAAGGAGAGCAAGAGAGGGAGAGAGAGGGGGAGAGGGAAGATGGAGAGCAAGACAGATAAAGAGAGGGAGAGAAAGAGAGCAAGAGGGAGGGGGAAAGAGAGAGAACAAGAGAGAGATGGGGGA